TTACTGCTCAGCGAAGCTTGTATAAGCTACCTTGTGTACCTACTAATTCTTGTAACCAAAGTGGCTCACCGGTTACGATTTCTCAGCTTCACAAGTGTTCACAGTTTACACCAAAGTGAGGCTTGTTAGCTTAACATGAACTAGCAAAAGGATTTAGCGACATGCGTAATGCCCCTCCCAATCCGAATAGTCCTAATTTTGCTCCTTCATGGCCCGCGAGGTCTACGAGGAGAGTGCTTTGTCTTAAAGTGGTTCACCACTAAATAACGACCCGGATTACTGTAGAGCGTTGGGATGGTGTTACTATTCAGTAAAATATTGTATGATTGAAAGAACTCTTTGCCGAACTCTTTGCCTTGTGAACGTGGCTTCAAGCGCCTCCATAAGAATTCCTAGGGTAAGGTAATTTGGATGTGGAGGAGGTGGTAGTTTACACTGCCGTGTCCTTTTTTGCTCCTGTGCACTCTCTAGGGCTGAGGATATTGTAGATGGTGCGGGAGCACTGGGTGAATACCATCTTGTTGAGAGTGCGTATACAATTAAAGGGGATGTCTTTGTCTCTCTGTCGGTTGCTCCCCAATCGTCTTCTGCCGTGTTACTTAGGCCTTGTTCACTGCGGATGCTGGGGCAGAGGAGGAGGAGAGGCTGTGTTTGGCGCGCCAGCCCATTTTCCATATGTTGTCGCTTGCCTTCTTCAACAGATGTTGATGAATAGGCTGGCGCCGCGCCAAATCCAGCCACTCCCCTCCCGGGACACAGCCCAACCTCCGCTGCGAACAAGACTATCTACTGAAAAAAGGGATTCAAGTCCACACTCCAATCCCTTCTCTTGCAGCTTCACAGTGGACTCAATACACTACAAGAATTTCCGACTTCATCTGTGGGATGTCAGCGGACTGAATCGTTCTCGTAGTGTGTGGAAACACTATCATTCTAATGCTCAAGGTATGGCGAATCTAGTGCTTTTGAAAATTCAAAAATGGTTAATCGAAAAAATCTGTTTCAGCAATCATCTTC